GAGTCGTCCCGCCTCTCCGGCGGCAGCAGGTGGGCAGGGAACGGGCTCCCACCGCTGCTGGCGCCGCCCCGGCCGCTGCCGCGCGTGGGCCAAGGCGGGCCGAGGGACAGGGACCGGGCACCCGGCAGGAACCGCAGTTCAGCCGCGTTAGTTTCGCTGTCGGGTTTGCCACGGCTCTCGGGGACGGGGGACAGCTTACTTCTGAGTCGAGGGCTCGGAAAGGCTTCCCGTGGCCAACGTTTTAATGGCCTAGGTAAAGCAGGGCTTGGTGGCTCTGTGGTGAGGCTACAGGCGGTGGGAACTAGGAAGTCTTATCTTAGGAAAAAAGAACTTTAAAATACAATTGGGAGACAGTAAAGCAGTTACAAACTGCGAGATGCTGTCAGTGAGGAAGGCAGTTTCAGCTATTTGGAGAGTAAAATCTGTGGGTGAACCCTGTCTTTGCAGATTGCAGTTGTGAGGAGGACCGAGAGGAGCTGTAATACACGGACACTGAATTTCTTTACCACTTTTTGTTCCAGGGAATTTTAGAGTGATTTCTAAATATACAAATAGAGAGTATCCACAAAGTTACTACAATGACGAGAGAGCCTTTCTGTAATTGATTGTCAATGCAAATTGTACAATCACTCATGTAAGCCGATGAAAAGTAATACTGCGTTCTGTTGCTGGCATTTAGTAATGTAAAATACAAAATTATGCAAGAATAGCCTCTTTAACAGTTTGCTGGGGGGGAGGGGGTCTTGTCTTTGCAGGTCTGTGAGTCAAGTGTGTGTGGAAAAATCACTCATCTTCAGAAGTAACACCCCTTATCCTACTGATACCGTGGCTGTCCCTGGTGGACATGATCTGCTGTTCTGTGTGCAGCTGGATGACTGTAAGTAACCTTTCTTTCCACACATTTAATTCATAGATTGCCTCTGCTTAAGGAATCTTTTTTTAAACTTACCTGTTATAATTGTTACTAATTATTTGGGCTGTAATAGTGCCAGAGAGACCGTAGTGAATCAGGGTCCCATCACTAAAGACAAACAAAAAAAAGAATATTGTACTCAGTTTGAGGGTAGGGTCTCTGGCTAAACACAAATCAGCCTTTATCAATTGCTTCTGTAACTGAGATACCTTCCTTACTTTGCTACACTTAAAGCAGCAAATAAGGGTGGATGTTTGAAATATACCACTATTATCCTTTTCAGAAAGTGATTTCTTACCATATCTTGGATTCTTTATTTCATATGCTTATTTTTATACTTTCTTCTCTGCTGGCAATGATTTTTCTCTAGTAATCGTATACCCTCGTACGGTATGCCATTAACACTTTTTTCTCTTTCTGCTTTCCACATGGTACTTCATTTAACTGATTTGATGTCCAACTCTGGCATTCATTGCAATTCACTAGGGTCTCACATTTGAACACTCACCGTTTTCTCTTTTGAGCCTTTTGCCTGGGAGTTTTGACCCACAGTCCCATCTACTTCGAACCTAAATCATAGAGCATTTTAGGTTGGGAGGGGCTCAGGAGGTTAACTGGTCCAACAACTAGTCAAAACAGGGTTAGCTTCCTTTTATCTAGTCCTGCTTTCAGCTCTTCACAGATGTTGCCTGAATGTTTTGCCTACAAGGAAGAGCAAAGAAACAATGAGAGCCTCATAGTACATAGTATAATAGGTAGCAGTGCTAGAATTTCACCTATCCCAATTTTCAGTAGGACTCAGAGTAAAGATAAATTTTGATGAGGGTTTAACCACGGCTGAAAGTGCCATCAGGCTCCTGGGTATTCCAGCCTGTAACTTGGAAGTAGCTACATTTTATCCTTTTCCCACACTACCCATAGTGTCATAAAAATAGGATTAGAAGGATTCTGAATTTGTAATCTCATCCAAAGGAAGGATCATCTGTGTCCAGATTGATGGCACCAGATTTTTCTGGCCATTTAATATTTGGGCCCCATATCTATCACATGATTAGGACCACTGAACAAGCCGTAGACATTTGATTGCATGTGAACGTTAGGTGTGGCACACCTGGGAACAACAGAATTCACTGCTCATGTGGCCTTTTCCTTTTCTGTGCTTGTTCTTGGAAGAACATCTGGGAAAGACTTTATTTGGGATCACCTGAAGGATGATAAAGTTTTCTGGTAGAAACAGTGTTCTCCCCTTTGGCCTTCCCCAAGGAAATATGGAAACACATATGTTCTCATCAACTGATTGTGGAAGAAGCCTTTCCAGGGTGGATGGTGACATCTGACCACTGCCAGAAATATAATCAAGCCTGCTCCAGAGGGCCTCCTGTAAAAGGGCAAGTGGGAACAGGCTCTGAACCTAATGAATTATTGTGGCCATTAACAAAGAGATTGTGATGCACAAGTTGACTTCACCTCATTGAAACCATTGCTAGCAGATGCCAGAGTAGTGTTCAAGTTTTACTAATACTTCTTTATGATACTTCTAAAAGATGCAGGTTTTTCTTCCTCTGCTTGTCACTAATGGCTCTTCCACGCCTGTCCTCATTCTTTCTTGACTGCAGTACTCTATTTCAGCTGTCTTTCCTGAAGTGTAAAACATCCTTTGCTTCACCCAGTCATCTTTTCTTGCCTATTTTTCTGACTGTTGCCATCCTTTGATTGCTTTATTTTTCTACTTTTTCATACTGTTGTTCTCCATCTGACAGCTGTTCACAACTCTGGCATTCCTCTAACCTTGATAGCTCATCACACCCAATCTTCTCTTTCTTTTGTGCCCTCTGTGGCCCTTTCTTCCTTTTGTAATTTTTCCCAGTACTGCCTTTTCACTGTCTTGTGCTAAAGGTGGAGTTTCACATATGTCTTAAACTGATTTTAGACTGTATTGGTACTAAATGGAGCAGTGTGACTGCTCACCACGTCCCTAACAGTTCCTTCTGTCTAATGATCATGTAGCTGGCTGAGTCAGGTAGTCTTGCTGATCCAACTGACAATTAATTCATTAAGAGGAAGAGGTGAGTTCTCAGGGACAGTTGGAAATACTGGATATTTTCAAAATACTTAAAGTACTTTTAAAAGCATTCCTATTTCACATACTAGCTCCTCAAGATAACAACTTTGTCTCTAGTCTTTGTAGGTGTTAGGAGAATATTGCTGCTATTTCTGCTTCTAAATGAGTGGAAGAACTAATATGAGTGCATTTTAAAGTTACAAGAATCATTATCCATGAGCCTGACTCCTGTTTTTTTTTTTTTAAAGTTTGTTTGGTTTCAGACAAATTAAATTGTCTGAAATTCTTTTTTGCCTTTTCCTACAAGATTAAATAGCCTTTAGTAGCTAGCATGCTTTCTTGAGCAAACTACACTATGAACAAGTTATATATGTCTTTTCTCTGAAAACTTGAGCAGTTTGAATATCTTAAGTTTTGCTGCAGAAGGCCTTTTCTTCCAGTTTTCAGGTATATTTTGCATTATGTAATGTTGTTAACCTGCATTCAGCTTTGGTAATAGAAGAGTACATAAAGAACTGCATTCCAAAGAAAAAAAATGATTGTGAGTAGCACAACTACCAGTGTTTTCTTTTTCAGTCTAATGATTATACCCTCAAGTGAATAATAAGAAAGCTGCTCTGTGCACCTATTTTTGTGAACCTTGTAGGACCTTAATACTCCTTCAGCCTTTATCTCCTTAAGATATTTAGTTGACTGCTTGACTAATGCTGTATTCGGATATAAAAATCTTTTATTTCTGCTTGCTGCTCTGTACATCTGAGGATCTGCTCTGCCCTCAAACAGCAGAATTACATTGAGAGCTTAAGTTCTTTTTTTTTTCTCCTCCCCCCCCCCCCCTGAGGATCTGCTCTGCCCTCAAACAGCAGAATTACATTGAGAGCTTAAGTTCTTTTTGGTACTACTGTAATCGAGGATACTGCCACTCACTCCTGTTGGTATGATCTGTAGTCCTCGAACCTTGTAAGACATTTTATTTGGATGTATTAAAAAGTTTATTGTTTGAACAAGTCCATTAGGATGAGTCTACATAGTATGTCCCTAATAACTTGCTATTTTATGACTTAGTGTTTTAGCATTAATAATTTAATACATTATATACTACTGTAATCGAGGATACTGCCACTCACTCCTGTTGGTATGATCTGTAGTCCTCGAACCTTGTAAGACATTTTATTTGGATGTATTAAAAAGTTTATTGTTTGAACAAGTCCATTAGGATGAGTCTACATAGTATGTCCCTAATAACTTGCTATTTTATGACTTAGTGTTTTAGCATTAATAATTTAATACATTATAACATTGTAACCATACCGAATACCACTGGGTCAGGAGGGCATCACTGTGGGATACCAGTAGAAAGTCTGGGTTTTTTAGGATGCCTATTCCCTATTCATACTTACTTTGAGTTTTACCAACCTTAATTATTTTGAGTCCATTTAATGTTGGTTTTAGTGAACTCATATATTGGTAGTGTTTTGTCATTAAAATGTCATGTGTGTCTAATTTGGGCATCTTACAGAAATTAGAGCACATATTAAGATAGTTGTCTTAAGCAGTTTTCATGCTTTTTGGAAAGTCACATTTGTGTGTTAGCACCTGTTTCCCATGAAACAGTTCAAACTAGTACTCATTATATCATCCTGTTCATAGCTCATATTAGCCTGTTAGCAGTGTTACTATGGATTAATTAATATAAGGCACTATCTAGCTTATAATTACTAAAGTTGTTCCTTTTAAAAATATTGGCATAATATTTACTTTTTCTTAGATCTATCTTTTCTAGTAATTTGATATTGGCGGATTTTTTTTTTTCTCACAAACTACTACTCATTATATCATCCTGTTCATAGCTCATATTAGCCTGTTAGCAGTGTTACTATGGATTAATTAATATAAGGCACTATCTAGCTTATAATTACTAAAGTTGTTCCTTTTAAAAATATTGGCATAATATTTACTTTTTCTTAGATCTATCTTTTCTAGTAATTTGATATTGGCGGATTTTTTTTTTTCTCTTTTCAACCTTTAGCAAAAAAAACTGAACTATTTCCAACAGCCACAGGATATCAAAGAATCTGATTTTTTGAAGTTCTTGGAGAAGTATGGCAGACACTCTTTCTTAGCACCATCACAAGTCCAGCCATCATTCTCTGCCTTTTACCGGGTGAGTTGAAAGAAAATAGCAATCAGTTTGCAGATACACTTTTACTAAAGCTGTCTGTAATGAGATCTAATGAGAACAGATGGAAAGATTCTTATTTTTCTACCTATAATCCATATTATCACTCATTTCTTTTCATTCCTTATTGTGTAAAAAGTTTCTGATTAGTTTTCTTGTATTTAAAAGTTTGGGCAACCCTTTAGACAAAAAGGGTTTGTATAGTATACAATATATATACGTATAAAGTATAGTATACTATACTATAAATTTATATAGTATAGTATATAAATATATATAGATAGAGAAGTATAAATGTGCCTCTGTGCCCTGATGATGTCATCACCTTGTGCTTGGCCTTAGTATTCCATAGTCACTTTGCCTGTGATTTCTCCAAATTGTCTTTTCAGGCTGGTGATCCAATCCTAATCTACTTTGATTCATCATCTGTACTGAGCACGCTTAGACAGCCAGTAAAAATGGGAGCCAGTGGACTTTGTGTTGATGGAAATCCTGCTGGTTAGTAAAGGGGGAAGAATTTCTTGGGGTGGTTTGCTTCTGTTTTATATGTTGTCGTGTCTTAACTCAGGCTTCCTGGACAGTAAAAGCACAAGCTGTACTCGGATTTTTGCCAACTTGAGCAAGAGCTGCGTTACTGATCCTGCCCTAGATGCTGCCTCCTACTACCGTGACTTCACTGTGCTAAAGGTACA